AAGGGCTTTTCCAATCCAGGCAATTCTGGGATTCTGTAAGAGTGTAAGTGAGAAAAATGGGGGAGCCTGGCCAGATGAACCAACTGTCCCTCTGTTAAACTCAAATTGCTGTTTTTCTCAGTATGAGTGGGAGCTGCCAAGCTGAAATAGTACCCTGGCACTCCTGACCTTTTCAGAGAAAGTATAAATTAAATGGTTCCTGGTTTCATCTACTGCCAGAGATTCTTCTGTTATGTAATGCTCAATAGTTTTGAATTAATTGCCCAAAGAGACTTTGTTTATCAATCTGATGAATAGAAACATCAATATAGTTCCTTTATTTAGAGCTAGGTAAAAATAAAGATTAATGACCTGATTTTTTTATTTGTTTTTAAAGCAACCAGTAAGACCCAGAAGTCTCACCCGTTTTCTTCTGATTGCACTCAGTGGTGATACAGACCATCCCAATTCATGAGGGAGCACTGCATAAATGTTGTCATGACTGTTCAGCCCTAGTATGTTTTCCAGTTTCCTCCCAATGTGTGGAAACAGGTGTTTACCTAAGGTTGAACTCCTGCAACTTTGGGAAAGTTTTGGCTTTCTTCTAAATTGTACTATATCTGCCTTAAAAAAAAAAAAGGATTTTTTTTTTCATCGTAATTCATCTTTCCCTTGCAAAAAGCTGCTTTTAAAATTTATTTAGTAGAAGCATTAATATAAATAAAAATATATATAAAAAATAAATATACGGAAAAAAAAATTCCTTTCCACAAAATTTGGAAGAGACCTTAGTGTGCAACTAATTCTTGAGCTTGTTTTCACTCTTGCCACCTGAACTCCCTGCCCAGCCTTTTTATTTTGCATCTCTTATCCCAGATCACATTCTGCTGTTGATGTCCTCAGGTTTTTAGGTTGGTCCTCTAAACGACAGCATTTTGTTAATTTAAATATGACCCCTGGGAACTCATTACTGAGCTTATGGCGAAAGGGGAGAGGGGGACTTGTCATGAAAATGATCTACAAACCAAGTCCAGAGTGGTGATGAAACCCTCCTCACCTTGACTATGCCTAAATGGCACCTGTTTGCTGTGTTCAGTCCGTGTTGTTTCAAAATGTCTCCTGCCTGTTGTGGGACAGCCCCAGTAGCGCAGGGAACAGTGAAAACTGGTATAAGGAGAAAAAAGTCTTGAATGGACAAAATAAAGAGGAAGAACATTCTTTGTCCTTCCACAGGAATAGAATCATTAGGGTTGGAAAAGACCTCTAATATCATGAAGTCCAACCATCAACCCAACACCACCATCACCATGCTCACTAAATTAAAAAAAAAATAATTATCATAAAAGAAATTCTGAAGACTTTTCTCCAGTGATTCATAAACTTGTACAAAAATATTTAGCTCTTTCTGACTATATTAAGTGTATCTAGATGTCTACAAGTGCCAGAAGAGGGCACTAGTTGTCTTGGTTATGTCCTGCTGGGGTAAGGCATCCTCACTCCAACAAGTCTGACAGTCTCTGACTGTGATCTTTATTTCCTTGTCAGGAAAGTGCAGTGTTGTGTTAATCAGCTTCAGTATGTAAGGAGGAGTTTTATTTACTTGGTGTTCATAATGAGACTTGATTGCATGATGCTATATAGAATTCCTGCGTGACTTTTTTTTCCCCTCATGGATTATTACATTCACATGACTTCTCTTGTGTTTGTTGTTTAATACTATAATCTTTTTAAGATTAATACTTAATCTTTTTAAGTCCATGCTGCTTGCAGGTCTTTATACCTGTAGGTGGTGCTGAGGTGAAGCAATGTGTTTGTGTTCTCATTATAAGGGTATTTATATTGGTTTGTTTGGCTCTGCTGGCTCCTCAGGTTATCCTACATTACGGATAGAGAAGAATGATCTTAAAAGTGTCACTCTCATGGAAGCAAAAGCTAAAGTGAAGGACATAGCCATCTCCAGGGAGAGGATAACTCTAAAAGATGTGCTTCAAGAAGGTATTTACAGGACTCGGACACTTGTTAACTACAACATGTTGTATATACATATATATATATTTTAGTAGCTAGATTTTTCTGAATTTAGTCATAGATGACGTTTCTCATCTTCGTAACTTTGGTGGAGGAGAATGATGAATGTTTGCATTTGGGGTGGGGGGGGTGGGTGGGGAAAGCAGTTTCCAGAATTCATTAGAATCGGGGAGCGACTAATTGTGCTAAGTCATTCAGCTTGTCTGTCTTCATAATCTGGTCCCTTAAATCAAGGTAAGGGTGAGATGGCTAAGGAATGAGGTAATCGGTTGGGATTGTAACTGGCAGAGTAACTCACTTTTGTACATTACTGCAGGAGAGCTTCTCTTAACAAAAAAAAAAAAATCAAAACTAAAAAACCCAAAGCCCACAAAAATCTCAGTCATCTAAACTCATAATCTCAATTTAATAGCTTCTGATTTGGAAATCTAATCAGCAGATGCAACATTTACAGCTATGATATGAAAAATTCAGAAACTACCTGATTCTTTTGTCTTGTTTAATGTTTACTTTGGAAGTGTTCAAGTGCAACATCAATTGGTTCTTGTTGCTGTTGAATTTGGGAAATAGACTTAATTATTTTGAGGTTTTTGTCATTAATCTTTACTGCTGCAGCTTTGAATAAGTGTTCCTTGAGCCTTATGAGAAATCAAACTTTTCAAAGGTAGATCTCTGACATGCTCATCCTTTGGAGGTAGAACTGCTAAATGCTTTGCATTACTGCCTGAAAAACAATGGGAGGGTGCTAACACTCCCCATTTATTGTATGTCTCTCAGACTCCAATGAGGCAGCTTTGTGCTCAACTCCAGTATTGGTTCTGCAAAAAGCTTCCTTTGCATGGGAGATGTTCCTTTGTATTGTCTGTTGCCTGTAGCTGTGATGTTAGGAGTCATCCCATGCCGAGAAGTGACTCGGTGCTACAGCTGAACTTCAGATGTTCAGCACCGAGTGACGGAGCTGCCCTGTTCTGTGAGGCGTGGCTTGAATAACTGTTGAAATGTGGACCCAGTTAATAGTGGAATCTTGTTTCTTGGCCTCCAGCTGGTATTTGAATCTGTCAGAACCTTCAAAAGTTAGCCTGAGGGCTAGAAGACAGTTCCTGATAAACAGTCACCAGTTTTAGTTCAGGGTTGTAGCAGAGCTGATCCTCTGTCAACTGAGAACAGCAGAACCTCAGCGTGGAAAAAGCGAATAATAGAAATGTGTATGTAAAATTTTCAAGAATTCCTAAGTGCTGCCAATGGAACTTAATTTTACGGGTATTGGCCAAAGATTCATTGTAAAGTTCAAGTAGCTTCCATAAATGAGCCTACTTTAACTCATGTGGTTCAAGAAGGCCAAATGCAAAGTTCTGCACCTGAGTCAGGGCAATCCCCAGTATCGATACAGGCTGGGGATGAAGTGAGGTGAAGAGCAGCCCTGCAGAGAAGGACTTGATGATGGTTTTAAACTAAAAGAAGGAAGATTTAGACTAGGTGTAAGGAAGACATTTTTTACAATGAGAGTGGTGAAACCCTGGCCCAGGTTGCCCAGAGAAGTGGTAGAAACCCCATCCCTGGAAATGAAATTCAAGGTCAGGTTGGACAGGACTCTGAGCAACCTGACCTGGTTGAAGATGTCCCTGCTCACTGCAGGGGAATTGAACTAGATGGCCTTGAAAGGTCCCTTCCAACCCAAACCAGTCTGTGATTCTATGTTTCTGTTTTAATAATTTAGGAGATTATGGTTCTGTTGTGGTGTAACCAGTTGGAAAATGCAAAGCACCAGGTCTGCGAGTGTGCAGAGGAAGAGGGAGCTGTAGGAGCCTTCTGTATTGCTGGGCTCGTGTGGCACCTGATTCTGAACCTGCATCAAGCTCCTATTGTACGAGATGCAAGACAAAAATGTAGATGTATTTAAAAAAAAAAAAAGTTTGGAATGAGATAGCTGTGCTTTAATAAATGGAGCAGATGTTAACAGTACATGGACCTTTATCATTTTCTGGTGAAGTAGAGACATTACTTAGATGTCCAGTCTGGAATATAAACAGCATAATCAGCAAAAAGCCTAGGGCAGAGTGAGGCAGAAGTAGTGTGTTCAAGCTGCTGTCTCTAAATGTTACAGCACACAATTATTGCTAATATACAAGTCTTTCAGGGTACTATTAAAATAACTCAAATCAACAAAACCCCAAACCATAGGCCACACTGGCATGCTGTGTTACAGTCTTATTATGTCTAGATATGAATTCCGTAAAAACTATTTTCTAATCATAACTGCTTTTACATGTTTCCCCATTCTCTTTATTTCCAGCATTTAAGAATAGATAGCTTGATACTATAACATGTTTCAGTACAAGATGCTGTCTTCCCTTTGACTCTTACATATATCTGTATATTGGAAATAGGTATTTAAGGCACTCTCATGATGTCTTCAAGAACCAAGATAAGAGGGTTTTAGTTTACGGTGAATAACTTGTGCTGTATATTTATGGTTGCTTATAGTCTCTAGTTAAATTGCTTCTTAATGAGATTACGATTGTGTAGTAGTTTAACTTGGCTGGCAGCCAAACACCACACAGCTGCTCGCACCCCCTCCCAGGAGAATAGGGGAGAGAATTGGGGGGGTAAAGGTAAGGAGACTTGTAGATTGAGATAAGAAACATTTAGTAATTGGAATAAAATAAAATTTAAATAGTAATGATTTTTTTAATATATATAAATGAGTGATGCACTGTACAATTGCTGACCTTCTGTTGACAGTGATTCTGGAGAAGCAAAAAGGAACTCCGAACCCAAAGCCACAATCCCAGAAGAGTGAGCCCGAGGGATTCCCAAGAGAATCCCCCACTTTCTGGTCAGCCCTGGTTAATATAAAGACCATGATGTGATTCTGTGTTTGTGATATGGAATATCTCATTGACATATCCAAATGTCAGTTCTGGGTTCTGCTACTTACTACACTTCCTCCCTTCCAGTCCTTTGCAATTGCAAACTACCCAAACACCATGTCCTTGTAGGTTATCAACATTCTTGTCATAACAAATCCCACACTGAAACCAAAACACAGTGCTTTCTAGCTGCTAAGAAGAAAATGAATTCTATCCTAGTGAAACCAGGACAACAGTTTGAAGATCCCTCTCTTACAGGGTTTTTGTGCCATCCCAGGGTTGATGATGGAAGTGTTACACTGTCCCTGTGAAGTATTTAGAAACAAAATGAGACCCCTGCTCCATGCCGGAAGACGTACAACCAGGCTAAGACAATCCCTATCAAAGATCTTTCAACCTAATCAGACAGGACAAATTGATGGGAAAGGAATGCGACATAAGAATAGACCACATGAGGTTGCTGCGTGGTAATAGTGTGACAGAAAAGCATTGCCACCTGAGTTGTATAAAAAGTCAATTCTGTGTGTGTTACTGTGATGCAGTTGTTCTTACTGTTTAATGTAGCTCCCCTTCCTGCAATAGCATTGTTAAAATTTAGTGAATGGAAAAATGTTGGAGAGACTGAAAAAAACCCCAAAACACCAACCTAACAGAAAACAACCCCAAACAAACCCAACACCTTCCAGCTGAGCTGAAACACTTGAATAATGTGATACTGTTTTTTCAAACTGTTCCCTGTGTACTGGTTTACTGAAACCAGTATTTCCCTGTGAACAGTTACAAAAAAATCCCATCTTTGACAGAAATGTTTTGACTGGAGAATTCCAGACCTGCTGGATGAGAAAAGGACAGAGTTGGAGATTGTAGTGCAGACAGCTGACAAAGCCTGAACTGCCCCAAATAAACCCATCATTGGTATTGATACTTAATTTAATTGGATTCTGCTACTCTCATTATTTCACTCTCATGCTTGTCCCTCTAAGTTTTAGTTATCTAAAACCTTCAGCGTTTACCACATATGGTTCTGAATCGACCTCGTGCTGGAGAAGCGGTTGGGTTATACTTGTTGACTTAATAGGGCATTCAGAAATAATGCTTTAACTGCCCTTGTTCCTAGCTTTCTGCTGTGACTGATACATTTTAAGTTAATATTTTTGTGATAGATATTAAATTCTGTTAACATTATTGGTGTATTTTAAGCATATAATACTTACTAATTGTATGTTCTTTTCATAGGCACATTTGGGCGCATTTTCCATGGGATTCTAATAGAAGAAAAAGACCCCAGTAAAGAGAAACAAGTTTTTGTCAAAACTGTTAAAGGTATGTTTACATGAAAGAGGGGGGTTTTTGCATTCAGTTGTTTGGATTGTGGTGTGTGTATCAAATCTATCTTTAAAAACAAACCCCTCAGCCCAAAATACGCAAATGTCTACTGCTTAAAAAGCAAAAGCAATTTGGATGCTGCCTGCAACCAGAGAGAGCACAAATCTTATATGGAAGAAAAATGCGCGTGTTATCCAGCAGTGCCTTCAGTTACTGCGTCTTGAATACTTTTGCTTATTATTCTTCTAAGTAAAAATTAGATTTGTTTTTTTTTCCCCTAGCGTGTCATTGTTCTTTCCATCCACAGCCTTTTCCTCTGCAAATTACTGAAAAAAGCCCCTGCAGTGCATCTTAAAATCTTTTACAAACATGTGCGGCTGTACAGAAGATGGGGTATAGTTTCTGTGATCCTTAAACTTTGCTACTGCAATATGAGAATTACGATTTAGAACTTAATTTATACAAATATAGCATCTTTGTTCCTGAAATAACTCTCAGAGCGATTTAGATCATGATCAGGACTTAAGAAGCAAAGTAAATATAACTGAAAACCATATTACATATCCTACGTATATATTACATATACCCTGCATGTATCCCCTCCTCTGCATTCATCCTTGTGAGAGTTCTCAGTAGCTCACGAGAGTTTTGCTGAATTCTCTGTGCAGTAGCTGCTTGCCAGTTCAACTGGGTGTATTATTGCCTTTGGTCTTCCATTTTACAGCTTCTTTAATTTTTTTTTTTTTTTTTAAAAAGGCTTCTATAAGAATTTCAACTTGTTTTAAATTTTTTTTAGCTGGCTAGAAATTTTTAAAGATACTAATTTTAAAGAGGAAAGTGGGAATTGGCGAAGCTAAATTTTGTTGTTGAATTTTTCTGGTACCCATTTATTCCATGGCATTTTAAAGAAAAAAATATATTGCTTAAAGAAAGCAAGCTGTTGTTCTTGGTATGTTTCTCACACAATCAGTTATGTGATTGTGATAATAATAAAAAATGTTTAGGTGGAAAGCCACTTGGAAGAAGATTCATGCTCACTTCAAGAGGAGGAATTTTTTAAATTCAACCTGATTTGGAATAAAAGTAGCTAAAAAAGAAGTCCCTACTTCTTTAACCAGTCTGACCTGGCAGTTTGTGCTGGATGCTGTTGCATTCTTGAGCTGTGCATTGGTTTTGATGTAGGCCTAGCAGGGTGGCATCACCTTTGCTGCTGTGACAACGAAGACAGGTCAGTCGTTAACCATACCTGCTGCTTTAACAAAGTATATTAAATGTAAAAATAAGATTTAATTTGCAGTACTGTGAGCCAGGTACCAGCTGTGAGTACTCAACACAGGTAGGGTGAAATTAGCCTCTGTTCCTGATCAGCCTGGTATGGAGGGATGAGTACCAGTAGTGAGGTTGTGCTTCATGGGCAGCAGGAGGACAACCTGTGATAAATCTGTCTCAGCATCGAGTCATCCAGCACAGCTTCATCTGTGATCTGGGACATCTGCTTGTGTTTCTGCTAATGGGATTCACAGAGGGCTGAAGAATGAGGATTTGCTGCTGTCATTTGTCCTGCTCTTTCCTCTTGCACATCCCCATGGGTATTCCTAGATTCAGGGTGACAGTTACTCTCTTAATCACTTAATACTTCCATTATTTCTTCAGGAGTGCCTCTTGAGGTGGTATGCTTTCATTCTGTAGCACTTTTCCTCCCTGTTTAGTCCAGAGAGGACAGTAGATTTTGCAGACAATCCCTTTGCAAGATGTTGGTAGCTACCATTTAGCTTGATGGTGGTAGCTAGAACTGGGTCTGCTGAAGTAGACGTATCTGTAACAAAAGAAATGGTCCTCTTGTAAAAAGGAAAGTATTTTCTTGTAGTGACTTCTAGCAAGAAGTAAAGGAGCATCCTTGATAAAAAAAAAAAAAGCTGCTTTGCAGTACTTTGAGAACTTTTCCCGAGTTCTCCCCTCTTCTGTTGCCCCTCCCTGCCAAACAGTTCTGACTTATCATTTTAGTTTTATATAGTTTCCAAAAAGCTTAACCTATATCACGTGAGCCTGGTGCTTCTCTGTGTATGATGAGACCATCTGACTTGGGGCATCATTCACCAGTGTTACCTTTACCTGTGATCCCCTTTGCTGTGTTATTTGGTGTTTCTCTGCCCTGATTCAAAGTCAACAAATACTACAACTCAAGAACCCCAAAATTGTTGTCAGCTGGGGCAGTTGGATATCTGTTCAGCCCTACTTGAGCGTGCTTACTTTTTATAGCATTGGATTAAATGTCAAGACAACACTTGTGAGAACAGATCTTAATTTAGCTGCCTCCCATCACCACTTAACTAATTGCTTTACCAAAATGGGCCTTCTAGTCCCTTCTTAAAGCTGCGTTACTCCCTTGTGGTGCCTTGTTTCTTTGACACAGCATGCGTCCTGATTTCTCCAGCCCTTCCCTTTGCAGTAAAAGATTTTCTGGCTGCGGTGAACTGGAGCGTGGTCTTAAGGGAGTAATGGTATTCACATAATTGTTGTCTGTAGGGCATTTCTCAGCTTTAAAAAGGATCTATATGGACAAAGTTTGTAATAGATTTTGATGATACTTGTCTGTGAAATAATGCTGGTTTGGGCAGCAGAACGTTGCTAGGAAAATAAACATCCCCACTTCTCCTTACAGCAGTTCATTTATAGGGCTAATATTAAGCAGCTTTGTCTTTGTACCCTGGCTGTGATAGCTGTGTGTGCAGCTGGGTCATGTAATAAGTTGGGAATTTGATCTGCTTGGAAAAAAAAAAACAAACCTGCAAAAATACTCTTAACCAGAATTTTTTCTTGATCTCGTTCTTTCTGTGGCCACACACACTGCTGTTTTGGCACAAACACAAGAGTAGGGCAGGACCACAAAAATGAGATGGGTAAGAGAACTATTAAACTCACTTAAGTATCTCTGTTGCCAAAGGCAAGAAAGGAGCCTGAGGGTCATGGAAAAGAAACAAGGCAAAAAGGCTTTGTCTACATAGCTAAATTAGCCACCCCATAAAGCATGGGCTGTTCCAGAGCTGTCTTCTTTTACCCAGTGATGCACTCTGAAATTGATAAAATAAAGTCCAGTGTTATCCTGAATGGCAGAAAATAATGGGGAAGAGGTGTGGGGTGTTTCAGATCTTCTGAAAAATGTGAACTGAAATTCTTTCAGCAGGTGTAGTGAGGAAGAATAACCTTCTTGAGAGGAGAAACACCTCTTTCTTTTCTCAAGCTCTGATACCAGTGAGACTTAAGACATTGCATTGGCTGTTTTGGTATTAGGGTAATTGCTACAGCTTTAAATCTGGAATGGCCAATAGAAAAAACCTCTTGGAAGGAGAACATCTGGACATGCCAAACATGATCAGTACACTTGTGTCCAAACTAGGATTTCATATTAGAACTGTAGAACCATAATCGTTAGGGTTGGAAGGAACCTTTAAAGACCCTCTAGTCAACCCCAAGTGCTATGAGCAAGGACATCTCTCACTAGACCAGGTTGCTCAAAGCCCCATCCATCCTGACCTTGAATACTTCCAGGGAGGAGCAGCCACAGCTTCTCTGGTGACACCTTGGGCCAGTGTCTCACCATCCTCACTGTAAAAAAAAAAAATTAATAAATAAAAAAATTATTATTATTATTATTTTATCTTCTTTATGTCCAATCTAAATCTCCCCCATTCCAGTTTAAAACCAAAGTCTTTTCCTCTCTTTCTTAATGAGCCCTCTTAGAGTATTGAAAGGCCATGGTAAGGTCTCCCCAGAGCTTTCTCTTCTCCAAGCTGAACAGCCCCAACTCTCTCAGCCTTTCCTCACAGCAGAGGTGCTCCTCGTCTCTGATCATTTTTGTGGCCTCCTCTGGACCCATTCCAACAGGTCCATATCTTTTTTGTGCTGGGGACCCCAGAACTGGGCACAGTGGTCCAGGTGGGGTTTCATGAGAGTAGGGGAGCAGAATCACCTCCCTTGACCTGTGAACTTTGCTTAGACATGACCTTAGTTGGTACAGTTGTCAACTGTGTCACTGGATATAAACTTTCACCCCTGCAGAATAACACCAGAGTACTGGCACAGAAGTGTTGTTGGGTGTTACCATTGCAAGCTGTATTGATCATAGCAAGTTTGCGTTGTGCAGAGTGGTAAAGCCTCATGGATTAAGTGATTAAGACATGCTCAAGAAAGAACGAGTAGCATACATGGGCCTGGAAGGCTTCCTCATGCCATGGGCTGCTCATATATGTTGGGTGCAGGTGCATATCACAGAATGGTGGGGGTTGGAAGGAACCTCAGGAGATCATCTAGTCCAACCCCACTGCCAAAGCAGGTTCCCTACAGCAGGTTGCACAGGAAAGTGTCCAGGTGGGTTTTGAACATCTCCAGAGATGGAGACTCCACAACCTCTCTGAGCATCCTGTTCCAGTGCTCCGACACCCTCACAGTAAAGAAGTTTCTCCTCATCTTCAGCTAGTGTTCCTTCATTAGTTGTTAGTTTATTATAGGATCCATAACCTTTCAGGATGGCTTATTCCTAACGACACGAACAGAGGTTTTTTCAGTTCATACCCTGGAGAAGATGAATGTCGTGCTCATCAGACAATACTTAGATCTGTGAGTATTTCCTGCTCTGAGAGGAGTGTGTTTGCAGCCTTCTCAGTTTGCCCCTTTCTGCTTTTCTTACCACTCCCAGGGGTTGATCCTTTTCCCCAAAGGATCAAAAAGCAAAGATAGTTGGCTGTTAGGGCAGTAACTGCAGCAGCCTTTGCCACTCTCCTTCCCTGGTGTTTTCTGGCCTGATGGTGAGATGTTGAGCATTACTATAAACCAGAAGAGTGCCGATTGAAACGAAGAAGCCTTGATTTTTCTGAACTTAGTACTTGTTCTCCCTTCTGAAATGATCTGCTGTTAAAGGAAACAGTAATACATAAAGACTGAGAAAGACTGGACCTGCCTACCTTTGTCCTGAGAAACTCTTGAAGTGAAAGAGGCCA